CACACACACACACACACACACACACACACACACACACACACATTGTTTCCTCCTGGGCCCTTCCTTTCTCAAGGGACAAGCCACCTCTCCGCCCCCTCTTCAGGACAACACAGGCGCTCACCTCAGTCCTGACTCCTGGGTCTAACAAAGCCTGTCTCCTTTCTGGATGCTTTCTCCAGAGCAGACAGCTCTCTAAGACCTGACCAAGGGAGGACTGACCCCCACCCAGCTGTGAGGGTACAGAATTGGGGCTTGTGTTTTCCAGGCTGTCTCCCTTCATGTGGCCCAGCATCATGACAGGCACAGTGGGGGAGTCCCTGAGTGTGCGGTGTCAGTACAAGGAGGAACACAAGAATAAGAAATACTGGTGCAGAGTGTCACTGCTACCAGCATGTAAAGAGATTGTCAGGACCAGAGCCTCAAAAGAAGCTGGGAATGGCCGAGTGTCCATCAGGGACCATCCAGCCACCCTCATCTTCACAGTGACCTTGGAGAACCTCACCCTGGAGGATGCAGGCACCTGCATATGTGGAGTGGATATACTGCTTTTTGATGACTCCTTGAGGAAGTTCCATCCCTCCTTGGGGATAGATGACTTCTTCAAAGTTGTGGTGTCCGTGGTCCCAGATAAGCCCTCTTCATGTCAGGGCATCCTGAGTCCAGGCCAGTCATTCCCTCATGAAAGAAGGAAGCCAGATATAATAGCATGGTGAGCTTGGTGAATCAGTGACTCAGGCCACAGGGAGTGTGAGTCCTAGTGTGCCTTTGTGAGAGCATGGTTGGTATGTGTGATAGTATATGTATACCAATACATGTGTGTGCATGTACACACAGTCCCAATGTGAAACCTGACTTCTTTAGAAACTCACTTTCTATCACATTTATCTATCTATCTATCTATCTATCTATCTATCTATCTATCTATCTATCTATCTATCTATCTATCTATCTATCCATCCATCCATCCATCCATCCATCCATCCATCCATCCATCCATCCATCCATCTATCTATCTATCTATCTATCTATCTATCTATCTATCTAGTTAGTTACTTGGACTATCCCTGGTGTGTGTCAATCAGAGAACTGGCACTTAGTTCTCCCTCCACAGTGTGGTCCTGGGGCTCAAACTCAGGTCTTCAGGCTTGGCAAGCAGAGACTGTCCCCACCGAGCTCTCTCAGCAGCCCCTGTAGGAGACTCTCTGTGTGTGCCATGTGACAGTCTCAGGCCCAAAGACAAGTCCTGAACCACTGGCTCTTTGTGACTTCCTGCCCTGATAGCAGACAAGTCCTCTCTCCCAGGTCTCACTTGGTCCTGTCCCCCTCTCATGTGGAAACAGAACCCAGCACATCTACTCCCCTCTCTCAAATGCTGCTCTGGCCTGGGCCCAAGTGGACACTTCCCTTCCATGGAGGTACCGAGGTGCCAGCCTCATCACAGTGGTTCTGGGGCTTCTGAGTGGAACTAGGGACACAAGAAGAAGGGTAGATTGTATTTTGGGGTACTTGATCCCTGAGGATTCCATTCAACACCTCCAAGTTACCCTGCATCCTCCTTTCCCAGGAACCATTTACTGCAGGAAGAAACTCAGAGAATTTCGAAAAGTGCCCCTTCGCAGGCAGAGGGTGAAGCTGGATGGAAGACAGACTCTCAGCTCCTCTGGTCCCAATGTTCTCCATGTCTGCAGTCATTCTCCCCTAATGGAGCCTCCCTTGTTTACAGAACCCGAATTAGTGCCTCCCTTTAAGGGCCGGGTGGTGGTGGGGACTGAAGGCGATGAACTGCTCTGTTATCCCAGTATTTTTCTATTCTGAGAGAGGGTCTTGTGTAGCCCAGTTTTTGTGTAGTTGAGATTCATCTTGAATGACTGATCTTCCTGCCTCACTGGCACTGGGATTACAGGCTCCCATCCCCACACCAGCTTCCTGTTCTGGTTCTCAATTTTGTTGCCACCTCATAAAAGCTTCCCTCCAACATCCTCTGTGGGTTCATAGTGAGGAGTGTGGAACCAAATCCCACTGGTGTCTCTAGTTCCCCTCAGCAGAGGCGACTCTCCACAGGGTCCTTCAAGCATCTCTCTTTCTAGAACTTTCCACCTGGCGATTCCTCAGAGAAGAGTGTCCAGTGGCCTGTCTGGGTGACAGTGTGGGAATGACTGGGCCAGGCAGACAGAGTCCCACCACTCTGTGTCTGT